GTTCTTTTATTTTTTGTGAAAGTTTGAAAGAAAAATCGCTGAAGTTATGTTTTAAAAGACTCACTGCCCGACTTCCGCATCTGCGGCTCGTGGGTCGCATCTGCGCAACCGCACGTGCGGAAAAATGGTCGCTTCTGCGGAAATGACTAGGCCTCGCTGGGGCGCACCTGCGAGAAAAGGACCCGCTCCTGCGGAACCGCATCTGCAGAAGACTGTCCGCATCTGCGAGACTGGACAACACCTGCGACCCACTGTGCGCACCTGCGGTGCTCGACTCGCAGGTGCGGTTACACCAGAACTGGTGCAATAACAGTGTTTTTCCTAAGTTTAAGCACCCCGGAACCTACCCGAAACTCACCCGAGCCCTCGGGGCTCCAAACCAAACATGCGTACTAACTCAAAAACATATGAACTTATCCATGCGATCAAATTGCCAAAATAACCTCTCAAACAACGAATTAAACCTCAAAATCAATGAAATATCTCAAACTTCTTAAACATCAACTTTTGCAATTTAGGCTCGAATCACGTCAAACGAATTCCGTTTCTTACCAAACTTCACAGAATTATCTTAAATCAAATATAAGACCTGTACCGGGCGCCGGAACCAAAATACGGGCCCGATACCAACATGTTCTAATCAAATATCATTTTCAAATCCTTTAAACAATTTCAGAAAACAATTTTCTTTAAAAATTCATTTCTCGGGCTTGGGACCTCGGAATTCGATTTCGGGCATACGCCCAAGTCCCATATTTTCCTACGGACCCTCCGAGCCGTCACATCACGGGTCCGGGTCCGTTTACCCAAAACGTTGACCGAAGTCAAATTAATTCATTTTATAGTCAAAATTTATCATTTTCCATAGATTTTCTCATTTAAGCTTTCCGGCTACACGCCCGAACTGCGCATACAAATCGAGGTGAAGATAAAAGAGGAATTTAAGGCCTCGGAACACAGAATTCAATTTAAAGGCAACAAAATAAAGCATATTTTACCAAAGTTTTACAGAGACGATCTTCAATAGAATGATGAAATGGATGTTCAAGAAATTCGTTCAAGTGATAATTTGGCAGAATAATTCACCAAGGCATTGCCAATCTCAACATTAGAGAGCTTGTTATACAAGGTTGGAATTCGTCGTCTCCGAGAAATAAATTGATGTTTTCATTAGGGGGAGGCACATACGCGTTGTACTCTTTTTTTCTTGGCTAAGATTTTATCCCATTGGATTTTCCTGGCAAGATTTTTAATGGGGCAGCAAATAATGCGTATTATAATATAAGTGTACTCTTTTTCCTTCACTAGGATTTTTTCCCAATAGGTTTTTTTTTTCTAGTAAGGTTTTAACGAGGCACATTATCTATGGACATCCAAGGGGGAGTGTTATGAAATATATATTTATATGGATGTCTACTAATCAAATATAACTCCCACTAGTCTTCTCCATTATGTAGATAACCCCACTACTTCTCACCATTATTGTTGTAAATCCCACACCTCCATAACCTACCCATGATCCCTCCATGATCTCAAATTGGCATATTTATGGAAATCTTTTGGTATACCTCTATGTTGTACTATAAATAGAGGATGCTAACTTATTTTGTAATATACTTGAATATATGGAAGAAATAAGAATCTCTTCTCTCTTGCTCCCTACATTCTTGTCTATTTTCTTGTTTTATATTATTACTTTGAGCTATGTTTCGTAACAATAGATCATAAATTAATGTTTACCTTTGTATTATTCTCGAATGGTGTGTCATACCTGTTTCATGTGACTGAACGACCGAAAATGCCCTTAAATAAGTATCAAAAGCTTGGTCTCTCTTTGTATCAAAAGCAAGAACTCAGGAAGGTCAAGAATTATAGCTTGGTCTCTCTTTGTATCAAAAGCAAGAACTCGACCATTTGCTGCTCATCATTCAGTTCAGTTCCATACTCACATTAAGTATTAATTCCTTTGCTGCTCTATTGTGAATACCTCAATAGCAGTTTCTCATCATGCCCTTGATTTCTTCTTTTCTTTTTCGTGTCTATAAGCAATATGTCAGTGTTTTGATTGGTGTTACAGAGTAAACCTTAGATGGACGATGACCATTTGCTTTCCGCTTTTCGAGTTCCAAAAGGAAGATCCGTATGAACCATCAAATAACCATACAATTATAGATCAAGTCACTTAAAAAAGATAAAAACAGATAGTTACCTGTATTAAGAGGGAATAAATTACTTTGAAAATAAAGCAGATAACTTGTTATAATAAATTAACTTACACTATCGTGTAATTTTTATTTATATTGTTAGTATATATAAATTAATCGTATTATTCTTTTAGTTAATCGTAAGTTCTGTCATACCTTTTTCTTAATTAGGGATAGTATATTCTTTTTCAAATTTCGTGTCTTATTTTATTATGTATATATCCATACTCATTTAATCTGTTTTTAAGTTTTTATTAAAAAAAAGTTCAAAACTTTAATGTACCATGAAATTTTTCTTGTTTATTGATGATAACTAACTATGTCCTAATTGTGGAACCCATGGATGTTAAACTTAATGAAAGTTGAGTGAAAATAGCACGGGCTAGCCAGTTTTCGGACTGGTAATAAAAAATAGGGAAACTTATAAAAATGTCCCAAATAAATCTCAACTTACCAACCTCTAGTCATTAGTCATAAACTTACCAAAACAAGCCAACAAAAATTGAAACACCAAATAATAAGGTTCTTTCTTTCAAAGAATCACATGCAAAAATCACCTTCCATATTTTTAAGCGTGATTAGCAACATTAGATACAAGACGGAAAGGAAATTTCATGGACGGAGTAGCAAATAAGGTGATGAAATACAAAAATATATACAATATTCCAAAAATCTAAGCAAAAAAGGAATTTTTTCAACGGGTATAGTTGAAATTCATTGAAAATATATAGATAAGTCAATATACAAAATTTGAGGAAGATTGAAGGTGATTTGGACTGGTTTTGCATCAAAATTCGTAATTAAATCGAGTTCAAAAAAGTCTTCTGCGACACATGTATCAGACATGTATCACGCATGTATCTCACACACAGGTATACATGGATATACATGTGATACACAATTGATACAAATATGATACATATGTGATACACAAATGATACACAATGTGATACACATCATTTTTTTTTCATTTTCAGTTTTTACGTCGAATTTTCAATTCAAACCACCTCAAAACTTCACCAAATCATCCCAAAATTGAGATTCAAGCTCCTTAGGTTGTGCCCAATCTACTCTAATAACACCCACTCAAAACAAAGCAAAAATTTGATATTTTTTTGCTTCAAATAACTAATTGGCTAATTTGGCTAATATTAGTAATATTTTATCAATTGGCCAGTTTTTGTAATGAGCTACTTATAAATGGACATAGCTGGTAATTTTCCTTAAAAATACTCCCGTTTTACTATCCGATTAATTGGTCGAATAGTAAAACAGAGAAAATATTTAAATGATTTCCAAAAGTACAGGGGTAATTTGGCCTTTTCTGTATTTAAAAATGTGGCTAAACTTTAAAGGGGTTTTGGCATGGTACAACAACATACCTATATAATTGGCAGAAAATAGCCCTAGTTATAGATATTGTGATCAAATAGACAATAAATGTATATCACAATAATAATATGCATATCACAACTTAAGTTTCTTCTTTGTCTACATCAACATGTATATTAAAGTTTTTTTTTCATTCTTTGTATATAAATAATATTATTCTTTGTATATCAATAATATAAAATTATATATATGGTTATTGTTGCCTTTATATTAATGTATATCACAATAAAAATATTGTATTATTTGTAAATCACAGTTTATAACACATCGGACATGTGTATACCAAAATAGATATCATAAATTTATTTTTCTTCTTTGTGTATATCAAAAATTAATTTTCTTTGTATACCAAAATATTATTTACTCCCACAATTATAGTTATTATTTTTATATTTTAGAACTTGCTTAAACATGCTATATCAAAAATTTATTTTCCTTTTTTGATCAATAATTAATAATTATATTATTTGTATATCATAGTGTATAACATAATAATAATGTGTATATAAAAAAAATTTATTAAAATTTTATTTTCCTTCTTTGTATAACACATTTAGATTAAAACTCAAGTTCAAGACGACTCCACATGTGTATCCCCTATTGTAACCCGTGTATATCTCTATGTACATCAGTGATATCTCATGTATATTATGTGTATCTGTGTATATCCATGAAAATTTGTATTATATATACGATATACAATGTGATATACATGAGCGTCCATAAACAAATTGTGTTGTATACACGATATACAAAGTGATATACACAGACGTCCTTAAAAACTTGTGTGTGATATACACTGATGTACACGATATACAACGTGATATACACATGTCGTAGTTGGATTTTTAGGCCTGATTTTTCAGCTGAAACCAATCTAAATAACTTTTAATTTTGCTCAAAATTTGTATATTGCCTCATTTAAATATTTTCAACCAATTTCAATCACACCCACTCATTCAATCCAACCAAAAAAAGGAAGAGAGAAGAAAACAAAGTTGAAATATATTTTTTCTCTCTTAGTTTTTGCTTCTGATTTCTCTGATGTGAGATCAACCTTACTTTTTCATCCAACTGATTTATTTTGCATAATTTGCATGAATTTTTGCTAAACTATGATAACAAAAGAGAAGAGATTGAAGAAGAAATACAAGGAGAGAAAGGGGGAGGGAAGCCAAAATAATCGTGTAGTTTTTTGGAGAGAGGATATAAAAAAGAGTAGTTTTTTAAGATTTGGCTATATAATGCTAATTGTTTGGGACTGTCTTTGCCAAATCTAATATAAGGCTAAAAAATTACTAATTTCAATTATGTGTTGTTATAGGATGCCAATTTTTCAACTTGCCAGAAACTGGCCAACCCACGCCATTTCTACAAAATGCTCAATGAATTGGACCTCCATTCGGCCCATAATAAAACAAACATCTATGAAATTTTCATATAAAAGCCAACATGTAAACTTTCCCACTCTAGGGTTTTTGGTTAGCCACAGGAAGCCGGTTGGCAGTAGTGAGGGCAGAGGCACCGAGAGAGACGAAAAATGAAGACTATACTGTCATCAGAAACGATGGATATCCCCGATGGGGTAAAAATCAAGGTAAAAGCAAAGCAAATAGAAGTGGAAGGACCAAGAGGAAAGCTAACCCGCAACTTCAAGCACTTGAATCTTGATTTTCAGCTCATAAAAGATGAAGAAACTGGAAAGAAAAAGCTCAAGATTGATGCTTGGTTTGGATCTCGTAAAACCACTGCTGCTATTCGCACTGCTCTTAGTCACGTTGAGAATCTCATAACTGGTGTCACTAAAGGGTACCGTTACAAGATGCGTTTTGTGTATGCCCATTTTCCTATCAATGCTTCTATCACTGGTGGGAACAAGGCTATTGAGATCAGGAACTTTCTTGGCGAGAAAAGGGTACTTATTTTTTATTTTTAAATATTTGGTAATAATGTGTTTTTATTTGCTATTGCTTAATAATGTGTCTATGCTATATTTACATTGATATATAGGCGATTGCATATGGAAATGATGTATTTAACTGCTAGAATTTCTGTAGCTTTTGTTGGGTGAATACTACATAGAGTAAATTGCTGAAGTAAATTGAATATTCTGTTAAAATATGATTTGTTTCTTTGCTCCAAGTTTTGTATCTGGTCCATTTCACTGTTTAGTTTTCAAATCTCTATGTAGAAATAGAAGGTTTTGGAATGAAGAGGTCTGGACAGCTGATCTTACCGAGTGAAATATGTTTGTTAGTAAAGGCTATTTGGCTCTAATTTGCTGCTTAATAATAATACTTTAGTAGGGTGGCTGATATGCACCACAATAGTGACATGTAACAAAAGAAGTAGAGTATTTACCGGCACATGCCTTAGTCGACTTGAAGCTTTCCTGAGTCTGACTTGTTTGAGGTAGGCCGTCTACTAGTAGATCCCTTGAAACATTTGATGTTTGATTTGTAGCCTCCGTCCATCTAAAAAAAAGAATATGGAGATTCTCTGAAATACCAATTTTATAAAATTGCACTTGTTGTATTAAGCACAATTTTTTAGAAGGGAAAAGCTCAAAAAAGCAATGTGCTTCCAAGTCCTTCATTTGATTGAAATGTGTTTCTTAACATTTCAATAGGGAATGCACTTAGGTCAGTGGCGGCGCCACCTTATGTTAAGGGGTGTCACCCCTTCGCCGAAAAATTAGTATTGCTTAGCTAGTTCAAAAATTTATTTTCATGTACATACTATATATGTTGACTCCCCTTATTTTTTTGCGTGTTTACTTTTTTATATTTTCACAACCTCTAGTAAAATTCCTTGCTTCGCCACTAACTTAGATGATGTAATAATACCATTTTCTGCATTTTAATTCTACGAGGTCAAGTAGTCTGTGATTGACTAGTTGATTTTCTTCCACGGGTTAATAAATGTTATAGGTTGCATATTCGTAGTGAGTAAAGTACTTAGATGCAGTCAATGGATGGATTGAGATGATTTGTTTTTAATACAAGACTAGATGTTTGAAGCCTCTTGCCAGAAGGAATGACATAGTTGTAGGAAAGCGTTCCTTGATGGATGGATACGTTCTCCTAATTTCTTCTTCGGCTATTTGTTTTAAATCTGATGCTAGATCAGTGTCAAATTAATATTGCTTCTTAAAGATACCGTCCTTGATATGTTTCTCACAGATTGCCTTTGTGGATATAGACCATCTTTGAGTTTAGTTGATATCTTTTTCGTGGCTATGGTGGCCTGTCAGATTTAAGTGTAGGGTAATCGGGAACTGACTTCTTGCTTTCACTGTATCAGGTGAGGAAAGTCGATATGCTTGAAGGGGTTACTGTTGTCAGGTCTGAGAAAGTTAAGGATGAATTGGTATTGGATGGAAATGACATTGAGCTTGTTTCTCGTTCTGCTGCCCTCATCAATCAGGTAAAACTCCTTCTTTTTACTTCTCTGGACATGCATTTCTGCACTTTATTCTGCAGTTCTTAGTTCTGCTTTATTCAACTCGTCTCTTTTCTTTGACAGAAATGCCATGTGAAGAACAAAGATATCCGTAAGTTCCTGGATGGTATCTATGTGAGTGAGAAGGGAAGAATAGCTGAAGAAGAGTAAGTTTTAGCAGACTTGTTGTGGGGTTATTTGGGATCATGTGCTGATTTCATACGAACTCATTTGAATTTAATTCAACAATTTTGGTTCCATGGTTTTCTGGATGAATATTATCTGTTAAGAGTAATTTTATGTTTTATGTCTGGCTCATTAAGTAGAGATGGATGTTTTCGTTTGATGGTTTGCTTATTAAAAGATCAATTTTTATGTCAGTTTTTTCACCTTATCAAAAAATGTCAGTTTTTTTCCTTTTAACTGCTGTTGCCCTATGCATTTTGAGATGGATTTAACTTTTTTTTTTTTGGGGAGGTTTGATTTGACTTATATACAGAATCGATATGTTGTAGCAAGTAATCTACTTTATTTACGTGTTACCAATTTCACTTTTTATAGACAGTTATGTGACATAAGAAAAATCATTTATACTGTCCATGTAATAAAAGTCATATTCAAGAGGGATTCCATTCCAACCTCTGCCAAAGTAAAAAAAACAGGCTTCTTTCCTGGGGCATCATTTTCAGTCATCTGCTAGTGACGGAGCTTTCTTCGATTAAATATGGCAAAAGAATGTGGAGAACCGAACTAGAAAAGGGGAATTAAGAGAAAAATTTAAATATTTAACGGTGTATATTTTCTGGAAAATATTTTTCAATTTTTTCATGTTTGGTTGGTTTAAATTCTTTAGAAAATATATTTTTTCTCGTTAACGCATTTTTCTCCGGTTGACTTCCCTACAAAAAAGAGGGAAAATATTTTCCAAAATTTTTTTTCAACCTTCCCCACCTTATTCCCGCCACCGCCCCCACCCTTCCCCTCTCGCCTCGCCAGTCGCCACCCCACCTCTGCCACCCTCGCCCCTAACCTCACCACTGCCATCCTAGCCCCTAGCCCCTGACCTACTATCCTTTTTGTCCTTACCCATTTCATCTCCCATGGTATTTGGTTAAATTATATATTTTTCAAACAATATTTTTTGCTACCTAATCAAACACCATAAGATATGTAAGAAAATCATCCAGAAAATATTTTTCGGAAAAATATTTTTCACCCAAACACACACTAAGTCAATATTCATTTTGATAGGAGCTCGTCACGACCTTTTTAGCTATGGATAACGAGTGCGAGAAGAGGTTCCTAAAAAAGCACGCAACAATTTAGTCGAGGTCTCACACAAGCTCTTTTTATAGAGTCAACACCTACCAATTATTCTAGGTGTTTTAGATCACACCTTGATTTTAAAGTACTTGGATTATCTTCAGAAATTTATTCTGGACATAAACATCACTTGCTAGGCGAGCTAACCTTTGGTATGATTACCTAAAGAGTTTCTATTTCAACCAATATGTAGTTGACAGTTAAGGTCGGGTAATTATCGCTAATTTTATTAGCCGTGTTAATCTTAGTAAAAAAATTATGCATGAACGTAATGCTTACAATTTCTCTTTAGGCCGTGCTATTATTGAAGCTCCATCCACAAATAGATAATTTGGTCAGAGGACCTATTAAACAAAGTTACGTTATTAATGTTAGTTACTTATTCTATTTGTTTGGTTAAGGTATAAGCACTCAAGTAGTCCAACATGGAAAATAATAAAGCAAAGACTAGCTTATCTAAAGTGAATAATGGGATGTGTCTTATATTGTAGTCATACTATGTGGTTATTTTCGTTTTTAGTATGCACTAGCATTAATAAATGTCCTTCCTCGATAGGACCCTTCAAATTGGAAAACTCAGCTTGTGCTTTTCAATTTGCAAGTAACAGCGCACACTACTGTGACATCACTCCTTTACTTTTAACTAAATATCTCAATTTCTTTGTTACTATGCCTCTAACTTGCTCAAGCCAGTAAATAATATAGGATTCAATGAACAATAGCATATGATAATTCTTTGTTCTCAGATTTCGTGAAATGCCTATTAACCCCCATCTTCCGCACTATCCCTAGCGAAGGTCAAAGCGGCCCTTATTCATTCATGTAATGCCACTGAAGATTATACATACCATTGGCATTGACAAGTAATGGAGGAAATTGTAATGGATCAAATCGCTATAACTAGTAATAATGGGTGTTTTTTTCCTTTTTTGGTTTTCCTCTAGTATCCGCATTAGGAACCTAACTATGCATTTCGTGCATTGTAAGGTCCATTTAAAAGGGGAAGTGCTCTCTACCAAGATCTTTTCCATTTTCAGGCTAAACTCAAGACATGTGAGTAAGGATAGAGGAATCTTATTCATCTCACCACAACTCTTGGTGCTGTAATGGGTGGTGGAATAACATAACTATCTGCTAGGTCATGGTTAGTCTATGAGCACGTCGCATTAACACAACATCAACCGTTCAACATATTCCATATTACATCATAAATAAAGTTGATGTACATGTTTACAATTTAAGAAGGAATATATAATCTCTTACAACAACAAAAAAATTCTCGTTAAAATGAGAAAAAAAAGTGAAACAAACTTTTGATGATCAACGTAATAAGATCTCGCAGGATTTGAAATGGGTAATACACCCGTGATGGTCCAACATAAGAACGTCACTAGTGATCTCAACTCTACCTAGGTCATTGAATTGATAAATGTGGAAGATGCCAAATGTCAATGTTAATTAAGAAAAAAGCTAGAGTCCCGCCTTTGTCTTCGGTTAAACCAATCAAAAGAATATTCCCATCTTTAACTTAATTAACTTCGCAAATCTACAATCTCTATGCATTTATTATTGCTTAATTACTTTCTTTCCTCTTACCTGCGCTTTTAGTAATTAATGGCCTCTTCATGTCCATCTTAAATACTCCCTCCGGTTCGTGACCAATTGGTCTTTTTATTTTGGTCCAAAATAAGTGTCCATTTATATAATCAAGAAAAAATTCAACTTACTTTTCGAAAATTACTCTTATGTACGTATTCCTAAAAAGTCTTTTACTCCTCACATTAAATTATGCTGCAACATTTAATTAAGAGTAGTTTAGTCACACTAACTATTTTTGTCTCGAATTTGGTATTTCCTTAATGGGTGTGCCTAAAGCAAATTGGTCACTTATTGTGGACCAGAGGGAATATAGTTTAAGACAGGATTGATGGCTAGTGTTGCACCAAAACGTACACGCAAGTATACGTGGTCGACAAATAATATAGGATTGTAAGTGTAGATATAGTATCCACAGGGACTTGTAATTAAATATCAATTAAATTAAACCCAAATAATTAATCTATTCAAGCGATTTTCTAAAGTATAACTATTTAACTAAAACTAATCTAGAGTAACAAACTAATAGATTGAAGGAAATAAGTCGGCAATATTAGAGACGAATTAAATGAGACAATATTCTAGAGCTATGGGTTAACTAAAAATCCCGTTGTGTCTTCCACTTAGATTGTCTAATTAATTTATCTGGTTTATTGATTGACATGGTAATGTTACTAGTAGTATTCTCCCGAAGTACTACTCGTCTGTTCAAGCTAACATAACGCTTATATTCCTATAGAATTAGGATTAACAAGAATGCATTAGTAATTCCTGTATAATAACCAAGCAAGGTGATTAGGTATATCCCTATCCTAACCGCAAATCTGTTTTCAATACTGAGGTTCAAGATCTCGCTCTACTCAATCTTATATGGAATCTAGAATTCCCTCTCCTGAGTTCAATCCTAGATTCGTAGATAGTATTCAATTGGTGATCAAACAATCAAATAATTAAGTGCAAGATTGAATAAATAAACCAATATGATAAAATACTAAGAACAATTCAAACTTCAAATTACAATGTTCATGTAGCACCCACAACTCTAAAACTAATAAACTATGAAACTAAAGGAAGAGAAGAGAAGAAAAATTAGTTAGAAGTCTCCCCTAAGCATGGTATGTGTTTTCTGCCTCCAAAGTTGACCAACCCCTCACTAATCACATTTAGGGGGTACTTATAGGTTAGGGTCGGAGTCTCCAAGCCCAAATCCAAGTAGAAAGCATTTAATGCACGGACTAGGAAAGGATCAGGCCTCAGAGCTCGTGAGGCCTGATGTGGGGCGCGCTTTAGAGTGGGCGTCGCCCACTATATCGCCTGGTTGACCGCGCGATGTACCAAGCGTCATCAACTCTGGCGCCTGGTCCAATTTTTCTGTCTTTTGGTTCTCTTTTGTGTATCTTTGAAGTCCACGCGTGCAACCATCATGTATTTTCATCCTTCAACAATCCTACACATAAAATGACACAATTAGGCTCAAACGTCGCAAATTTCGCCACAAAAATACTCAAATATAAGGTAAACAATGCACTAAAAATAAACATTTATAACCAAACATCACTATTCCACACTTAAACGTTGCTCGTCCTGGAGTCACCCAATAATTTGCATTATCTTTGAGCACTTTATTTTTACACAATTGAGGCACACTACACTAGTGACCACGGTTGATAACAACAATGAAGCTAGAGCATATGCATTCAACACATACTTCCTATAACTCATGCCATTCTTCAAAAGAAATATTCACAACGAAGACAACATGCTCGTAACAATCCTAGCCTCAAACACCGACTCAATATCACAATACATCCATGGCTTAAACACCCAGCTTCACAGAGAAGTCTAAGAACGTTACCTATCCCTCGTGAAACCATGCGCCCTCACAACAAGAACAAGAGAGCAAGTTGAATCCACACATTTAAATCTCATGATCAAATATAGTTTAAGGACCACATATATCAAAGAAACCACTCACTCTCACAAAAGAAGTCACATGCATGCAAATGGTACCATAGGCTTGCGAATAATGTAAATCTCCATTAATGTATGCTCACTCGATCTAAATTCAATTAGGACTTTTTTATGGTAGTAGTGTGGGCTAAGGGATGGGTAGGATATAATTAGGATCAATGGTTCACCCTCCTAAGCACTTTAACACATTACATAACAAACTTTAAGCGAACATTCTTCAATTACTTCAATTTGACAAACAAGATCACTCCCCAAAAATATTCCCTCTTTCTTTAGGCACTACTTTACTTTATACCTCACTTAGCAAGGAGAAGACAACAATTTTATTCACTTATATTTTTCCTTCTTTTTTCTTTTCTTTTATTTTTTCCTTCAATTTTAGCTAGTGATGTATTATTTTACAAAACAAGTGCACCTTTCTTTCTTTCGCTAGTTCCACTCGAAAGTCACCCCACACTTAGTCCTTACTTCTTTAGCGCTTATTTTATTATTAAAGTGCCTTAAGAGGTAACATGATCAAAATAATATCACTTAAGAAAAAAGGGTATAGACTTGTAATGTGGGTGCCAAATTAAAGTCTATAGGCTCCAAGGGGGTTTACTAGGGATAAATTTTATTTGTGATAAGCACTAAGATAATAAAGATCAAAGAAGGCCTAAAATTATTTTTCAAATCGAGCAAATTCTAGGATTTCGCTTCAAGTCACATACCGAGCAAGTTCTAGACTCAATCACAATAACATGGACTACACAAAATCTTACCTCACATATGGCACATGACTCACTAAGGACGTTCTCGTTTCGACTCTCAAACAATGCAAGTATTCATACAGCCACAAGATATTAAGCATTAAGTACAAAGTGAATAATAATCACGCAAAAGAGACATAGGAGTCACATGACATGCTATCCAATATATAAAGGTATCATGCTCAACGTCAAACACATAGGGAAGATACTACACATGCCTAAGCTTAAATATGCTATTATCAAATAAGTCGCAAAGGTTTTTTTTCTCCCTCTTTTACTACTCCTAAAAAAAAAAAATTACCCGGTTCAAGTTACATCCCCTGAAAAAGAACCGATGCACAATGAGGATTACCTAACTAAAACTAACTAGAACAAAAAAAAAATTGATTGTTTTTCATTGGACATTAATCCCCCGAGAAAGCTGTCCAAAAAGTCCATCGTCGGAAAAAATCCACATTTTCCATTTTTTTTGTTTTTTTTGTGTGCACAAAAACTACTACACTAAGAAAGAGTACTATACCTAAACTAGGATAGCTCACACTTAAAATTATTCAATGTCCTCAATGCATATAATAATTACAAGAGGTTGAAAGAGACTCCCTGATAGGCTAAAGACCGAAACACTAGCAGCTCACGGGATACTCAGACTTCTCCCAAGGATGGTTCTTTGTACGGACACCCCACACTTAGATCCAACTACATGCTTGCTTTTGCACATGCCTACTGGATTTGATTCCATGCTCCTACTCCTACAGGACACAAAAATAATATAATAGAAAAAAAAAAGAAATAGTAGAATTGGGTTGCCTCCCAACAAGAGCTTGATTTAACGTTGCGGCACGATGCCATCACTTCCACCACTTTTCTTTCACTTTGAGGATATGAATTGCGCCCCCAACTTTGCATCAATTTTTCTATTACGTTCGTGGGGTAGTGGTGTAAAAATAAATGAACCAAGCAATAGATATCGCATCTTGGACTTCTTGGCCCTTAAGTGAGGTATGTCGTTTGTCTCCTTGGCATCGCAAATTTCAGAATATAAGCACTTTGTTCCTCATCTATTGACTCAATTCATAGGCTCGAATGGATCAATTCATATGTCACCAATCAAACACAATGATAAAAAAAAGGTTAGAATGAGATCCAATGCGCTCCAATTCTAGAATAGCTTCACTTTTTACATCCTCACTTTTAAACACTTCGTCAACCTTGGCATCATTAATAATATTTTGGTCGAATAGTTGAAATTCCTCTTTTCGCCCCATAAGTTGGCCAGTATCAACAACAATCGGTTGTGTGGCATCAGGCGCCTCAACCTTTTCATTCAATTGAACCTGCAGATCATGGATATCTGAGCCAAATTGGTCTATCTCTTGCTTGAGCTCAGTTCTTCCTTCTATCAGCTGTTTTGCCACGTTTGAAAGACCATTACGGAGAAACTCATAAAAATTTATTAGGACCTTGTTCATCCAGCCAAGATTGACTCACAATATCTGTTTCTTCAAAGTTATCTTCTTGTTGGAATTCGCTTTTTTCAGCCAATTCTTCTACCGTGCCCTTCATTCTCATAATTTCTGCACTAATTCTTTTTATAGCTCTTTGATTTTAATCTGTTGCTCAGATACTTGCCTTACCATATCCGTAATACGGGCCGCACGCTCCACATTCTCCACTTCATTGCTCCTATCAAACTCATAAATATTATTAGAAATATTATAATAAGGGCTCGGAGAAGGGTAAAAAAATTAGGACAACCATCCCAATGGCCACCTTGACAACTACACAAATTACAAAAATTTCACTCATAGGATTGAGATTCACAATTTTGCTACGAGTCTGGTCCTCCACAATATAGAAAAGGATTACCAAAATAAGAATAACTAATATTCGACCAATTCTCATTTCAAGATGCCATGTCAAAAATAATAATAATAATAATTAAAAATATACTACACTAAACTAAAATTTGAAAACTTGAATAGATAAAAAAAAGTTTGATCTAGCAGACCAGTCAATTTCAAAGTCCCCGCAACGGGGCCAAAAATTTGTTGTTCCAAAATGCACATTCAAGTATACATGGTCAACAAATAATATAGGATTGTAAGTCCAGATATCGTACCCGATTAACTATCAACTAAATTAAACCCAAATAATTAATCTATTCAAGGGATTTTCTATAATATGACTATTTAACTAAAACTAATCTAGAGTAACAAACTAAGAGATTAAAGGAAACAAGTCAACAATATTAGATACGAATTCAATAAGAGACAATATTCTAGAGCTATGGGTTAGCTAACAATCCCGTTGAGTCTTCAAGCTAATCTATTCAAGCTAACCTAACGCCTATATTCCTGTGAAATTAGGATTAACAAGGACGCATTAGTAATTCCTGAATAACAACAAGGCAAGGTGATTAGGTATATCCCTATCCTAACCACAAATTCCTTCCCGATACCCAGGTTCAAGATCTCGCTCTACTCAATCTTCTATGCAATCTAGCATTTCCTCTCCCGAGTTCAATCCTAGATTCGTAGATAGTATTCAATTGGTGATCAAGCAATCAAATAATTAAGTACAAGATTGAATAAATAAACCAATATGATAAAATACTAAGAACAATTCAAACTTCAAACTATAACGTTCATGTAGCACCCACAACTCTAGAACTAATAAACTATGAAATTAAAGAAAGAGAAGAGAAAAGACATTAGTTAGAAGCCTCCTCCAAGCGTGATCTGTGTTTTCAGCCTCCAAAGTTGACCAATGCCTCACTAATCACATTTAGGGGGTATTTATAGGTTAGGGTCGGTGTCCCCAAGCCAAAATCCAACTATAAAACGTTTAATACACGGACTAGGAAAGGACCGGGCCTCAGAGCTCGCGAGGCCTAATGTGGGGTGCGCGGCAGAGTGAGCGTCGTCCACTATATCGCCTGGTTGACCGTGCGCTGGACCAGGCGTCGCCCACTCTGGCGCCTGGTCTAATTTTTCTGTCTTTTGGTGCTCTTTTTGTGTACCTTTAACGTCCATGCATGCAACCTTCATGTATTTTCTTCCTTCAACGATTCTACGCATAAAAAGATACGGTCAGGCTCAAACGTCGCATATTTAATTATAAATACATTCAAATATAAGGTAAACAATGCACTAAAAATATACATTTATAGCCAAACATCAGGTAGCTTATGTGGTGAGCTCTCTACCTTTCTGAGTTGAGCTAGATCATTCAAACCGTATTAGTAGCATACCAAATAAAACAAAATTTCGTGTATGATTTTGGCACACGATTAAAAATTTGCTATATTTATAAGGGTTATTTTATTTGGCTAACTTGCCCTTTAATATCTCTTCAAATTACCTTCATCTCTTCTTAGATTATTTAAATCATTTACTGGGGCAGTGGGAGATTTGGGAAAAAATATTTATAGCCTTCTTAGTTTCCTAAAATGACACAAATCTTGGATCATTTTGAAAGGCTCAATGACACTTAAATAACGAAATCTTGGAGGTAGTAACAATGTATAACGAAATCAGGGAGGTAGTCACTTTTAGTCGGCATGTTTTGACTTTTCATGCTCCTTAAGAAATAATAAATGAATTGCATAATTTATCATGATACCCATATTAATTGATGCATATTTTATTGAATTTGTTTAAATGATTTGAAATGAGTAATAAATATTGTGGGTATAACAGAAAAAAAATTGTCTTTCTCTTGATATGCGTAAAGTGACAAGGTAAGAAGTTTGTCTTATGCTCATTTTACAATTATTTTATTCGTATAAGCCAACAGCAATTAACGTAGAACTGACACCTCACAGAATTCTAAAATCTCTTAGTCCTTCCAATCAGTACGTACAAACTTCTACATATCAAATTAATAAGGAAGGATCTACCGCGTTGATTACGGGTTCACGTGAATTCAATAAATTTTGCTCAAATTTTATATATTATACTAAAAAATCTATTAAATATCTATAGATATTTAATTATGAATCTAATTATTATTGTAATATTAACTTGAGATCACCATTGAAACCCATAAACTTCATTAAAATTTGAAACGATTTTATTGCTGAATAGTGAACACTAATTAAAACTAATAATGACTGTAGCATTTGAGAACCGGCAACTCACATGTTAATGTTCTACTCAAACCAATGCATTTTGGTTTTGGCGTTCTTTATGGATCTTACAACCATTCTTAATCTCGTGAACTTTCTTCTAATTTTGAAAATTTCTACATTAATTAGAGACACATTTCCCAAGGATTCATCTCACACATATTTTGAGTACGCAACGTACGATTGACATTTTAGTCACTAAGCTATAAATGTACACATTAATCTTTCACATTACTCCATAAGCAACATGGCTAACTTCAATACAATTCTATCTTTGCAACTTTTCTTTTTCTCTTCTTCCATTTTACTAATACCTTCTTGTTTAGCTTACAATGTGGTTAGTTTTGGGGCTAGAGGAGATGGAAGGACAGACTCAACCGCGCCATTTCTTCGCGCTTGGATGGCAGCCTGCAGCTCAGCTAACCCGAATAACGTTTATGTTCCTCGAGGAACGTACGTTATAAGACCAGTGACATTCACTGGCCCATGCCGGAGCAGAATTGAGTTCCGGATTGACGGAACTGTCATTGCTCCGGCAGATTATAATGTGATTGGAGGTTCTAGCTTTTGGATTTTGTTTTATAAAGTTAGTAGACTTTCTGTCTATGGTGGAACAATTGATGCTAAAGGACATGGTTTTTGGTCTTGTAGAAGATCTGGTCATTCTTGCCCTCCTGGAGCTAGGGTACGTAATTATGTTTTTCTAAATCAACTCATAATTGTTATCTAGGTTCCTCTTTAATTAGCCTTATTGTGTTTATATTAATGTAACAAGAGTTTAACTTCTATATATAGATTACTAGTGTAAAAGAATTTGTATACTATCAAATTAAATCATCTAAAATATGACATGTAATTACACCGTTTGACCTGTAATAATATTTTACTACATTGCTAGCTGGGGACGTAATTTTGCTTTTAAGTCAACTTACAATATGTAATTATAGCACCGTTTGACTTGGACAAATTATTATTACAATTAAAATGGAAATAGTATTCGATTGAGCAAATAAAATATAGAGAACTTCTGGTACTATTTATTTTTATTTAAATTTTAATAAGATGTATTGACCTGAGGTAAGTTTAAATAAAAAAACACGGTTAGTGATGATTCATATAATCGATCCAACTTATTTATGATCGATTAAGGTGTAGTTGTCATTGTTATATTAAAGAATAAAAAGTAGACTTTACAAGTTGCTACAATACTTCTTTGATACTACGTACGGTACTGCCAGTGGCGGAGCTACCTTAGGCTAAGGGTGTCTGTTGACACCCCTTCGCCGAAAAATTACACTGTTTAGTTTGCCCAAAAATTTATTTTTACGTACACATATTATATGGTGATCCTCTTACTTTCTTCATATTTTTACTTCTTTATATTTTGATACCTCGTGGAAACAACCTCTTGCAGAAATACAGGGTAAGACTGCATACTATAGACCCTTGTGGTCCGTTTTTCCCCGGACCCCGCGCATAGCGAAAGCTTAGTGCACCGGACCCTATATTTTAATACCCCTTAATACAATTTCTGGCTCCGGCACTGCATAATATATATGTTGAGTATTTTCTCACATGTGCACTTTGATCTTTTTGCAGTCAATAACATTCTTGTGGTGTGATAATGTACTGCTAAGTGGATTGAAATCATTGAACAGCCAAATAATGAATGTGGCAATTGATTTTAGCAGCCATGTGAGAGTCCAAAATGTTAGAATAAGATCTCCAAGTGGAAGTCCAAATACAGATGGAATTCATGTGGAGAATTCCAGGGATGTTACAATCAAAGATAGCATCATCCAAACTGGAGATGACTGCATTTCCATTGGCCCTGGCTCCATGAATATGTTGATTCAGAAGATTGGTTGTGGCCCTGGACATGGCATCAGGTATTTAAACTAATTGTTTGCTTGAAAATTAATTTAAATAGACATTTACACAACCCCTTAAACTAAAAACGATCGGCAGATGTAAGAATATATAATTCATGTATAATATATATATATAATCATGTACAATTAATGTATAATTTTTATATATATGCTGGCTAGGCAAAGTAACTAGTGGATCCGACCGACTATTTGCATAAAGATCCGTTAATAAAAGCTATCATATATTATGGTAAATAATACGTCCTTTGTTTCTTGATACTTTGTTCGGAAAAGTTATATATACTTATAATATAAAGAGTTTTTACACTATATATAATATAATATGTGTATATTCATATATAATAATGCATAATTTCTGTATATGAATAAAAAAAGTAAATAATACATTCGGCTTGCTATTTTGCGTAAAGATCCCTCTTTTTTAAATTAAAAAAAAAAAAATCTTCTTTCTCTCTCTCTCTTCTTTTTATTATATGAAGAATGAAATCCTGAAGATTTAGTTGTCCTTTTGCAGCATAGGGAGTTTGGCAAACAGTTACAACGAAGCAGGAGTTCAAAATATAACAGTGGCAAATTCAGTATTCACCAAGACACAAAATGGTGTAAGGATCAAGTCATGGGCAAGGCCAAGTGATGGCTACGCTAAAAATCTCATGTTCAGAAATCTTGTTATGAGGAACGTTGGGTTTCCCATCCTCATTGATCAAAACTATTGCCCCGAAGACAGTTGTCCTCATCAGGTATATAACCGACCGCAACTTGCTTGAAATTGAGACGTAATAATTGTTGTATTGAATTCTGAACATATAATTATTCTTAATACAGGGTTCAGGAGTGAAGGTGAGTGAAGTGACATACAAGAATGTGAAGGGAACATCGTCCACACAACAAGCAATAAAATTAGATTGCAGTAATACAACTCCATGTACTGGTATTAAATTGCAAGATATAAAGCTAAGCTTCGTGGATTATCGATTGAGAAGGCCAGCTTTAACCTACTGTAGAAATGCACATGGCGGACATGGTGGCACCGTCATTCCAAAGAGTTGTTTTTAAAACAAATTAATAGTAATGCATGATTATTAATATAAGTATAATTGATTCTCATTACAATAAGTAAGATAGAGACACTACTAGAAATCCGGTAAAAAGCGACCACAAAAAGCGACCAAAGTTGGTCGCTTATAGGCCCAAAAGCGACCAAAAAGCGACCAAACATGCCTGGTCGCTATATTGCTGGTCCCTTCACTAGGGACCAAAGTTGGTCTCTAATTAGCAACCAACTTTGGTCTCTAAGGTAAAATGACCAAAAATTCCGGGTATTGACTATAGCGACCATCTTTGGTCGCTTTATTATTTTAATAATATAAATTTGGCGACCAAAGTTGGTCTCTAAATGTAAAATATATTATTTATTGATTTATTATTATTCATAAAACATCAACCAACTTTGGTCTCTAATCCAAATATTATATTTTAAAATCTGGAAAATGGAGACCAAGGTTGGTCGCTATTTTTTTAATTTTTTTTAAAAAATAAGCGACCAAAAGTGGGTCGCTAATGTCAAGAATTTAATTTTTTTTAATGGAATAGCGACCAAGGTTGGTCGCTTTTTAAGAAATCTGGGTAAAAAGAGGCCAACTTTGGTCGCTATTGCCCGTCAAATTATTTTTTTTAAATGACAAGCGACCAAAAAGAGACTAAAGTTGGTCGCTTTTTTGGGTATTATTTTGGGAGAAACTGCCTGTTTTGGCAGCTACACCACCTGTCAGCATACCAAATCCCTATTACAAGCAACAACAACAACAACACCAACAACAACACAACAACAAATACAATAACAACAACATTAAAACCAACGAAGTATAAAGTTCAATAGAACTAACACATTAAGCTAACAAAACTAAGTTAACGCTTATTACAAGCCCATTCGAAAGCTAGTTCTATTGTCTAGTTCAAAGTATATAAAGTACTCAAGGAGTGTTCTTTCAACATCCTCGTCCGAATGTTGGATTGCCTCGCCCGACTCATTAGGTGGCTGACTGCGTATGAATTCCTCCACATCAGGTGTGAAGCGAACCTATAAGAAAAATTATATTAAATTAGTATTTCAAAATTTATATAAAAGTAAATAAAAATACTTAATGAAAAGTAAAAAACGTACATGTATAGTCGAGACTCGACCCTCGACCCACCTTTCTGAATCAGTCTCTTTCTTCTTCTTTACAATACGAGTTTTATTGAATAGCTCATGATCTTGCTTCATTGGCATCATAAAGCTGTCTGGTGGCTTTGGTGATTATCCTCGGGATGAACTTGGATACAGAGAATAACTTGGATACAGTAGCTGACAGGGTGTGTCTTTTGATCAATTGTTGTTCTCGTTAGCGACAATGATGATGAGAATGCAATGACATGTGCTTCAAATAGTGATGGTGTAGGCAGGAATTTTAACATTTTCTAAGTAGATAAAAGAAAGATTATAGAGGAATTCTCTACTTCATTTTCCAAGAAGAAAAGAAGTTTAATTGATAGTGACAAGGTTGATGGTGATGGAATATTTTCCGTNACACGCCCGCTTCGTAGTACTATTCATCCCTTGTATTACAAAAGTATTAACGACTTATATTTATTTTATTTACATAATAAATACAAAAGTGATTTTTAATTTTGACCATATAGAGACCCACTTGGTCGCTAACTGTAAATGAATTTAATTTAGCGACCAAAGTTGGTCACTAACTGTACATGAATTTAATTTAGCGACCAAGTTTGGTCACTAAATTTTAATCAGATTTATTTATATTTTATATAATATTTAAATTAATAATAAAAATTATTAAATGTTAGAACTGGGTCCCACATTTGCGACCAACATTGGTCTCTATTTAGTTAAGCGACCAACTTTGGTCGCTAACTTTTGAATTATATTTATTTATATTTTATAATTTATTTTAAATAAATATATATTTATTAAAATATAATAACTGGGTCCCGCTTTAGCGACCAATGTTGGTCGCTATCAACTTATCCTTCAGTTAGCGACCAACTTTGGTCGCAAGTTTTAAATTATATATATTTATATTTTATAAGTTTTATAAAATAATAATAAAATTATTAAAAAAAATTATGTGGGTCCCGCTTAAGCGACCAACATTGGTCGCTAATCTCAGTATATCTTTGACCAAACAAGTCTGACCAGTCCAGTCAACAGTTTGACTAAATTTGCGACCAAATAGCGTCCAACTTTGGTCGCTAAAGTATTTCAAATATTTTTTTTATTATTTTCGGCAGTTTGGCGACCAACTTTGATCGCTTTTTTTGACAGACCAAATTTGGTCGCTAATCTTTGATCGCTTTTTACAGGGATTCTAGTAGTGAGATACTGGCTGTGTATACATATTTCCAACTTTCCAAAGGAAAAAGGAAAAGAAGGCTCATTTCTCATGAGTATCATTTTTCTAGTATAACTGGTCATTAGTTCAGTCTTGTTGGGTAGTTTTAAATAAAGAGATAATTTATTTATATGGAAGTTCTTGTCTACAAGTGTACTACTTTATCTGCTTTTTCTATACAGTGTGTTTGCCCTAAAAACGGATAATAATTGAATTTATATGCAGTTTTAAGGATACATGGATTAGTTCAATACAAATGATTCTATGACGTTAAATTAACAAATAAAAGACGTAACAAATGACCAAACCAATAAGAATGAATCCGGGCTCGATTAAAGGCTTAACAAAGGGCCTGCCTTCGGTTCGATTTATCTTATGAAGTTTTATTAATTAAATAGCTTGAAGAAATCTTTAAATTGAAATATCAGATTATTTTGGTAAAAAAATCGGCTTGCCTAGTTCCACGATAGGCACCATTACAACATGGCAGTTTTGGGTTGTGACAGTAGGATTTGTGACCTCCGGTCCGGAGAATCGCCTTATAACTAAAACACTTGAAGTAAGTGAAACTTTCGTGTTTCCATTGGGTCTCGTCCATTTCCAGAAAAATGTAAGAGACACTAATGCAGTTGCAGTTGAACGAATACGCCGTACGCTGACAAACTGCTGAGTAACGTTCAACGGCGTGGGGGATGTTAGAAAAAAAAAATTTAGTCATCTAACAAGGACAAAGCAGAGTTGCTTTCTTTTTTTAAAATACTTGTGGAACCTAAACCAGCTTGTGTGTAACTCAACTGTTCTATGAGTACACGTTACATCCTACCAGCCCAAATACCAGATAAACTAGAGTTCGTTTATGTTAAAGATTATTAATCTTACATTTTCAGCTTGAAATATACGAAAGCAAATCCATCAACAGCATACATAACCTATTTCAATACAAATGATTCTATGACGTTATATGCGGTTTTAAGGATACGTGGATTAGTTCAATAGAAATGGTTCTATGACGTTAAATTAACAAAAAAAAGACGTAACAAATGACCAAACCAATAAAAATGAATCCGGGCTCGATTAAAGGCTTAACAAAGGGCTTGCCTTCGGTTCCGGGTTTACACTTGTGAAGAACTTATGAACATGAACAAAATCTTTGAATAGCTTTTAGAAACAGAAGTATATTGCCTTGGTATGCGTGTTACAATATGTGTCTAATGAATAATTAGTTTTTCCTTTATATAGCAGGGGAATTTTACCCTAAGTACAATTCTAAAAAAGGTAAAAATCTTTCCTTTCGCTAATCACTGATCCATCGCTGATACGGGCCGAGATTTATGCCATGACATCCGGTTGGGCACGGATATCACGGCCCTTTGTTAGTCATGTGCGGTCATTTGGTAATGCTCTTCGAAATCTTGGGACTCGAACCGAACCCGGAGGACTCCCGATGCCTCCGAGGGCAGGTGTTTTGCTCGAGCCCCGACAGGAGGGGCTCCTCGCTCTGATTTTGATTCCTTACGGTCACGTCCCTGAGTCGTTTGCCTCACCGAGAAAATGGGGTGTTCATCGGGCTTAGTTTCTCCCATATACAGATAGTCCCCTCGTTTCTCCGAGAGCAGGTTTACCGAAATGATGAGAAACGACAGATGCTTTCCAATTCCTTCTTCAATACACCGTAACAGAAACGATAAAGAAGTAAAAATGTCTCGTCAATCACGTCCTTTTGACTTAGGACACGTGTCGGTCCTTGGTCGGCTGCTCCCGTATGCGAAGCGACATGGATTTTTCTATAAAAGGTTTCACCCCTTGTTCCTTTTTTCACTTTTCGTCCAAACTTCTACCCTCGAATTCTCAATCCCTTTTCAAACTGTCACAACTTTTCTCCCTCTTTTCAAGACTTCGCAGTAATTTCAGGTTTTTACCTAGGTTTTTTCCCTAAATTATTTCACTCAACTTCTTATCCTTCAAAATCCTTTCTTGAATTTCCAAGCATTTTCGAATAATAATGGCTAAAACATCTAAATCTGTTCCCCAACAAGCTGTTTCTTCTTCTTCCCAACCGGCCTCTGAAGTCGAGGTGGCCAATCCTGATATAGTCGTCCACGAGACGTCTGCTCATGATGCGGTTGTTAATGAACCAGCTCCCGAACCTCCCTTAAAAATGTTTATCCCCAGGGGTTGCTTAGTTGGAGATGACTTTAAGGTCGAAAAAACCTTCGTCAATGCAGGATAGGGGTAAAGGAGCATCGAGGTATATATGGTCTTTTACCAAAGATGTCCTTCATATGGTCCGAAGGGATTGCAATTGGGAAGATCAGGACGTAGTAGTCCCTGGGCCCAATGACGGCATAACTACCTACGTGGAGGGGTACCTAAGTGTTTACACTTATCCCTTCATATTGGGCCCGGTGGACCCGGTTATTTTGGATTTTTGCAAGAGGTACGAAGTGTGGCTCGGGCAGATCCATCCATCATTATGGAGTGTCGTGATCCTCCTTCGTTACTTTGTGAACAAGACTGAGTCTCGTCAGTTCACCATCGATCACCTACTCTGCCTATATAGCCCCCGAATCTTCCGATGGGGGACTAATAAAACTTACACATCGGGCCAACAAATCCCCATTTTCGAGTATTGATGAAGATCAGGATCGAGGCTGGTAGGGACGCTTCATTCGGGTGAGGACCGAAGACTTGATTCC